TTGGCTGGTGCACTTACCATGAGTACTGACTGGAATTCCATCCCTCTTCAACACTTGCTGAGGCATCGAGTATAGGTACCTGGTAGGTCCCTGCCCAAGAGCCTGGAGCATAGTGTCCCTGGCCATCTGTCTTGCCAGTGATCCCTTATGGGCTTGTCCATCTCCTCTACTGCCTCGGGACTGTCAAAGGACCAGCTCTGATGTAACTTTTTTCCCCTTCGTTCTTCCCTTTGAATGATTAAAACTGAAGTGGATCCCATTGCCTTAGGCAGATGCTTCTTAAAGATAGTTCCTTGGTACAGGCCTTGCTTCCCAGCTTGGGAGGCAGGAAGGGAAGTGCCATTCCTACCAACTGTTTTTCACAGCCAAATGGAAATTTTGTGTATACATTTCTCTCTGTACGATTCTGACTGGAAGTAATCATGGAGAGAAACAGAATGTGTTTTCCGTCCTGGGGAACACATGGCCTTCACTGTCATCCCTCATGCTTTTGTCCACAGTCAGCACTTGATGCTGTCCTCAGCCTGTCCCAGAGCCTCCACCACCTCCTTGCTCTTCAGATCTCTGCAATTCCTGTGCTTCTGAGGCTGCTAGGAATGAGGCATTTACTCGAGTGTTGCAGCTCCTGATTAATTTGGTCACAGCCTGGTTTAGCCAACAGTGATGTTTCCCATTTCCTGAACACCCGCTGAGGGTTTCAGGCCTTTCCTAAATGTGCACGTTATTTCATTTGGTCTTTTTAACAATCAAAATCACACTTGGTTCTTGATCACTCCATTTTGCCAGCACGCTGAGTGGCCGAGACGGGATGGGGCTCAGGGACTTCTGCATCCATCATGTCCTCTCTGTCACCCTGCCAGAGAACCAGTGTGCCGGTCCTGTGGCCTGAGTTCTCCCAGTGCCACCGCCTCCTTACTATTGGCATAGACTTTGCAGCTGGAGTGGAATGACGGATGAAGACGGGACTCCGGCAGCCCATCTTGTGGGGACAGGCCTCGAGCCCTTCTGTTGGAACTGCATCTCAACATCGGGACACTGAACTCAGGCGTTCTTCCTGCATGGCCATTGAAAAATTAGAACAAAGATGTGCTCACGAATGCTCCCTAGGAGAGCAACAGGTTGGAAATGAATTTGTGGGTTTGATTGCATTTAAAAATTTCCTGAGAAAGCAGCATGGAGATTCCTTAGAAAGCTTGGAGTAGAACCACAATTTGACCCATTTATCCTACTCCTGGGCATATACCCAAAGGACTTAAAATCAATATATATACTACAGGGATGTAGCCATATCACGGTTTATAGCAACTCAATTCATGATAGCCAATGTATGGAACCAACCTAGGTATCCTTCAATGGATGGATACATAAAGAAAATGTAATATATAGACACAATGGAATATTACTCAGCTATAAAGAAGAATGAAATTATGGTATATGCCAGTAAATGGATGGAACTGGAGACTACCATGCTAAGTGAAATAAGCCAATCCCGAGAAACCAAAGGTTGAATGTTCTCTCTGATATCTGGAGGCTAACCCATAACAAGGGAGGATAGGGAAGGGAAGTGTTGAAGTTCATTGGATTAAAGAGGAAGGAAGGGAAGATGGGAATAGGAAAGACAGTGGAATGAATCGGACATAACTTTCCTATGCTCAGTATGAACACACAACCGGTGCAACTCCAGATTATGTTCAACAACAAGAATGGGACCAAAATTGTAATGTGTGTATAATATGTCAAAATGCACCTTCCTGTCATGTATATGTAAAATCAACAAATAAAAAAAAATTTCCTGAGGCTCTTGGTCTGGTGTTTTCCTTGGGCCATTTCAGGTTCCCCCGGAGCTGTGTGCTGATTCTTGCGTGTCCACCGTGCAGAGCCTTGTCCCGAGGCTCCCAGGGCTCTACTAGGAGAAGCTTTATGTTTGAATTGCTCCTGGTGCTAGAAAACCATCATGCCCGAGATTTCCCACTAAGGATCTCTTCAAGGGCTTGACGTGATTTCAGTTCCATTTGTGATATGGTGTTCTTTCATCATTGGCTGCCTTATCGCATTCCGATGGAGAGGAGAAGAACAGAAGTGTGCATTACCAGTCAGAGTTCAAGTGAGTGGCTTCTGTGGATGGACCCGTGCGGCTCCGGTGGGTGGGGGCCAGGGCTCAGACCCTGTCTGAGCTGCCACCTTGTGTTCATGGGTCTCCGTGAGGCCACAGCTGAGATCGCCCCTACCATCCTTGGCCTAGTGGGCATGCTCTGGTGCAGATAAAGCTCTAGGAGCGAACAGGATTGTGCTGGAGCGTTTAGTGCTCATCTCTCCTCAGGGACCTCCTTGATCCTCTGTCATGGCTCCGTCACAGGCTCCTTCCACAGCTGTGCTCCACATTCACAGGAAGCAGAATTGCAGGCCTGAGCATCAAGCTCCTAGAAGGAAACAGTATCTTTGTGACCTTGGGCAAAGGTTTCTTAGACAAGGACACAGGAAGCAATAACCATCCGAGAAACAACTGATAACTGGAGCTACATCGTAGTGAATGTCTGCTTATCAAGAGAGTCCCTGAAGTCAATAAATTGGCAATAAATATTTGCGAAACACGTATGACTGAGGACCTACATTCAGAGCATATAGAGAACCGCTCCAGCTCAGGAACAAGACAAATGATCTAATTTTTAAGAGCTGTCAGGAAATTTGAAGAAGCACTTCACAAGGGAAGACATACAAGTGGCCAGTAATCATATGGAAAGATGTTCAGCATTGTAGTTATCAGGGAAATGCAAATTAAAGCCAGTGGAATGGCTAAAATTAAAAAGACTGATAACGTCAACTGTTGGTGAGCACATGCAGCACCTGTGGCACGTGGGTGGGCACCACAGCGTGAGCATGAAGTGGTGCCGGGGTCTTCTGGTGCTGGGGGTCGGGGACTCAACCTGCACGTGGATGGTGTGGGGGAGAGCAGTGACGTCATGCAGTGTGCATGGTTGTGAGAATTTATGGAAAGCAGCAGCGAGCGGCTTGCAGGGTGGGGGCTTGAGGATGGGTTCCTGGAAGAGGGTGACGTGGGGTGAGAGTCTTTGAAGGAGAGCTGGGTATGGACGATGGTGGGGTGGGCGGAGGGAGCCTGAGGCTGTGCGCCAGAGCCTCTCTGCCTGGTGAAGTCCTATGGACCCCTGGCTGGAGTGGTGCCTGACCTTCCCACCATCCTTCTGACAGTCTGCTTCATCACAGGTGCAGTGGTGTTTCTGTTCCTTCACTTGCTGGTCTGTGGTCTTCTTCCCCACCGACCCTCAGTGGGTCCAGCCTGTCACTCCCTGGAGGCCCCAGAGGAGGGGTCTTTGCTCTGCTCACTCTGTCCCTATCCATCCTCATGTCTGGCACAGAGCGGGCATTCACTAAGGACATGCTGCCTGAGGATCAAAACACGAGTAGAAGTGGTTCCGATTGGCTGTGGGTAGGCAGGAGCTGGAGCTGCAGGGCAGGTTGGGTCTGCCTGGGAGTCAGTGTGCACATGGGGCCTCCAGGCTGCACTTTGTGGTTCTGAAGGTTCCTTTTGAAATGGGAGTTGTCTTGGTCCTTTCAGGCTGCTACAGCAGAATACCAGAGACTGAGCAGCTTATAAACAACAAGTTTATTTCTCCCAGTTCTGCAGACTGGAGGTCCAAGACCCAGTCCGTTGAGGCCCCTGCTTGACCTGTAGGTGCTGTGTCCTGGTGTGGTAGGCATGGGGAAGGGTCTCAGGAATCTCTTTCACAAGTGCACTTGTCCTGTTTGTGAGGCCTTGGCTCTCTCCTCTTGTGACCTAGTCACCCCCCCAAAGGCCTCCCATCCCAATCACGGCGTCTAGGTTTCAGCACAGTCAGTCTTGAGCAGGGTGTTGTCTCTGAGCCGGGGTTAGATATACTAGTCTGGCAGGTGTGTGTGGGTGGATTAAGGAAAGTGAGGAGGTGGGAGGCAGGCCCTGGAGGAGAGGTAAGAGCACTCAGGCTCAGGGAAGAGTGGACAGGAGGATTAAGGGTGTAAGTTGACTGGGTGTTCAGATGTGGCTGTGTCCTAACAGAAATATCTAGAAGCAGATTTATTGTCAAGGCTGGGGCCAGAGAGAGCCAGCTCCTCAGGTGAGCCTCCACCTGCCTTCTTGTCCCAGGGCAGCTGTGTTGCAGCCAAGTGAAGGCCTGCAGTGAGCAGGACCTGACCACTGGGAGGTCTTGTCTCTGGTCCTCCTTGGCTGTGTGACTTTGCACAGGTCATTGATGCTTCCTTGAACTCCAGTGTCTTTGTCCACAGGCTGGAGTACTGCACTCATGGGTTGTTGTATTGATTAAAGGAGGTATGCTAAATATGCTGGTACACAGTAGGTGCTTAGCAGCAGAAGTCAATATTACTCCATGTCGGAGTTGTTGGGAGAATCCTCTTAACATTTCATGTGAAAGAAACTTGGTGTACGCTATGGAGTTTTAAGTCTAAATAACAATTCATTTTCTAGTAAATGGCTCTATATATTCTTCTTAAAAATACCATGCCATTTTCTTGTCTTTATTTATCTATTTGTTTTGTGGTATGGAGAGGGCACCTGGGACCTTTCGCATGCTTGATGAGCACCCCACCACTGAGCCACTCCCTACCTCTGGCGTTCCAACAAGCACGCGTCTGATGACAGGCCTTGCCCAGTCCTACAGGTTGCTGCTCCTCTTCTTTATCGTCGTCGTCGTCTTCTCTTAATGAAGGATGTTTTATGTCATGTTGGCAAACACCTCTGTGCCAGAGTCTGGGTCTCCTCAGTAGAAGGTGAGGAGGCAGTTGGAGCCATGGTCTGGCGGAGGGCTCTGCAGTGTCCACTGTGGTCCTCAGAGCTTCTCCCAGTGCTGCTGTGTCCCACTGCCGTGGCCCAGCCCTCCCTCTCCTTGATGACTCTCCAGGTCCTTGTTTTGTACAAGTCTTTTCATGTGCATTTCCTTCTTCATTTACAAGTATATTTGAAAAGCTTTTTGTGTTCTTCTTTGCTTCAGCTTTCTGAAGAAGAGAAAATCCAGCGCTACAGCATCCTCTCCGAGCTCTACGAGCTGATCGGCTTCCACCGCAAGTCCGCCTTCTTCAAGCGTGTGGCGGCCATGCAGTGCGTGGCCCCGAGCATTGCGGAGCCTGGCTGGAGGGCCTGCTACAAGCTCCTCCTGGAGACGCTGCCTGGCTACAGTCTGTCACTGGACCCAAAGGACTTTAGCAAAGGTACCAACATCCCGGGGCTGGAATGGCAACATTGCTTTATTTCTGTTAACCCTTGCTCTGCAGGGCCTCTGGGTGGCCTGCCAGTGGCTCCTCAGGGCTGCTTCCACTGTCAGAACAGCTTAACCCCATCTGTGGCCACAGGACTATCCTTTGCTCCCTAGAGCACCACTGAGACACCTGGTTCCATGCAGAGCAGGGTCTGGAACCTGGCCTAGCAGGTAGGTGCTCACAGTGCAGAAACACGCCTCCAGATGGGGCTCTCACTGCAGGGCAGGTCTCTCCCTGGGCCCCACTCGGTGCCTCCCCTAGCAAGCCCAGCTCCTCCCACACTTGAAGGGGAGTGCTTGTCTTTCCCTGCGGCTCTCTTCCTTTGCTTCAGTGGCAGGCTGGGGACATGTGGACAGGCGCCTGGCCTGTGGTTTTGGGAGTTCTACCTGACTCTTGAGAAGACCCGACTCATCTTGCCCTCTTGGCAGGCCGGGTGGGCTCTTGCTTAGTATTGTTTCTGCTTGACCCCATTGGTAAAGGAGAGAGGAAGGAGTCCGGGAGTGAGGCCCTGGGTCTGGCTGCCCACAGGGGTTGGGGACAGAGACCAGTTAGGAAAGAGGGAGTGTGTGATGAAGGTTGGGAGCCAAGTTTAGACTGAGCAGGGTGAGGAATTTGAGATTGAAATAAAGTCTCCCCTTGTCCTTGTGGCCAGTGTACTTCACAGGAAGCAGAGCTGGGACCAGACCTGTAGGCAGCGTGAACTGAAGCAATGACATGGCCCTCAGGGGAGCATGTCACTTGTGTTCTCATTGGTCAGGTTTGTGCTGTTGGCACCAACCCAATTCCTAGCATTCTGGGGACTGAGGGCTAGGGCACCCCATTCCTGAGTTCCTGCCTCTTTATAGCCACTCTGGCAGCCTTGTTGTAAGACCTTTCTACTTTCCAGAGGGAGAAATAAATGGATGATAATTCAGTGAACAGACTTGCCTCTGGTGGGCCTGTCGGGCCGGAAACTTGGAGTGTTTGTAGGCCTGCCTTCCATGCGGTTCTGTGTCCAGTCAGCACATTCATTGGCCCGAGAGGGCCCCCAGCAGGAGAGGTGCACTGCCAACAATAGTGTGTGGCCCTGGAGTGTGACCTAATGTCTCAGAGTGCTCGATTCTATACGAACAAAGTAGTACTGCTCATGTGTCCACATAAGCAGCACCTACCATTCTTTCTTTTTTTTTTTGCAAATATTTTTTTTAAACATTTTTTTTTAGTTGTAGATGGATACAATATCTTTATTTATTTTTATGTGGTGCTGAGGATCCAGGGCCTCACACGTGCATGGCGGGTGCCCTACCGCTGAGCCCCAGCCCCAGCCTCCATTCTTTCTTTTTAAAAAATAGATCACTTAAGAATTCATTTTTTTTTCATATTCTTCCCATCATTACACTTTCCTCCCTATGGTTTTATGTTATTTAAAAAAATCTTTTAGGCGCTGGGGATATAGCTCAGTTGGTAGAGTGCTTACCTCGCACGCACAATGCCCTGAGTTCAATCCCCAGCACCACAAAAAAAGAAAAAAATTTAGAATAGTTTTAGGTTCATAGCAAAATTGAGCATACAGTATAGAGTCCCCAGTCCCTGCCGCACAGAGGCCCAGCCTCCCCACTGCCAACGTCACCCACCAGGTGGAGCATTTGCTACAGCCCACTGTCCCTAGTCTACTTCAGGACTCACTCTCGGTGCCGTGTGTTCTGTGGGCTTGGACAAATGTGCAGTGACCCATGTCCACCATCACAGAATCCCAGAGAGCCTCCCTGCCCTGAAGGCCTTGCTGTGCTTTGTCTCCTTGTCCCTTCTTCCTCAGGCCACTGGACACCGTACCCTTTTACTCCAGCCTCCTTAGTTGCGCCTTTCCCAGAAGGTCACACAGTTGCACTTGAAAGTGCGAGGGCTTCTCGGATTATCTCTCTTCACTTGGTAATATGCATTTAAGTGTCTTTCATGTCTTTTTCATGGATTGTTACCTCGTTTCTTTGTAGCCTTGGAGATACCACAGTTATTTATATAGTAGCCTAAAGAATCTTGGTTCAAGTCTTGATTTCTTTCAAGCCTTGGGAATTCCGAATAAAGCATCCATAGTATTCACGTGTAAGTTTCGTGTGGACGAAAGTTCTCAGTTCCTTTGGGTAGATGTCGGGGAGCACTGTTGCTACTTCATGTGGGGAATGTATGTTTAGTTTGGCAGGAAACCACCACACTCTCTTCCTCGGTGGCTGTGCCATTCTGCTTTCCTGCCATGCCATGGAGGAACATTCCTGTTGCTCCACATCCTGTCCAGCGTCCAGTGATGTCAGTTCTTGGGAGTTTGGCCATTCTAACAAGTGCTGAGTGGTACCTTGTTGCTGTTTTAATTTATAGTTCTTTAAGGACATATGATTATTTGCCACCTGAGTATCTTCCTTGGTGAAGTGTCAGTTCAGATCATTTACCCATTTTAAAATCAGGCTGTTCTGTTGAGTTTTAGGAGTGTGCTGTATGATTTGAACAACACTTCTTTATCGGACGTCTTTTGCAAATATTTTCTGTCAATCTGTATCTTGTCCTCTCATTCTCTTGGTAGTGTCATTCATGGAGCAGACAGAGTCTTCAGTTTTAATGACATCTAGTGTATTGATTCTTTCCTGGATGGTGCCTTTGGTGAGTGTGTGAAGTCATTGCTATACTAAGGGTCACCTCCACTTCTGTGTTAACGTCAGGGGTTTGCAGTTGAACCTTACATGTTCCCGAGTACTTGTGTAGAGTCCAAGGTCTGTGTCCAGACTTGTGGCCAAGTTTCTGGATGTCCCGTTGTGGCATCCCATCTGTCAGGAGGGACTGTCTCAGCTGTGTGTTGCCTTTAGCCTTTGTCAGAGACCAGCCTATTGTACTCTGTGACTCTAGTTCCAGGTTCTCTATTTCGTTATGTGGATCTTTTTGTCTGTTCTCACTCCAAAACTACATGGCCTTGATTGCTGTAGCTTTGTACTCAGTCTTGAAGTCAGGGATATTTTTATTTATTAAAAAAACTGCCCTTATTGGACATTACAGAAATGATCGTTCACAAAAGGTGATTATATTTTTATGGCACTTTCCTGGTATTTTCAGTGAGGCCCCAGGGCAGCTGCCATGCTGGGCAGAGTTGTTGCCAGTGGTCATGACCCCAGCAGAGCACTGGGCTGCAGTGCTGGGACCTGGCTGGCTCAGGGCCAGGTGAGTCTGTTGCCCCATGAACCTAGCTGGGCCTCTGGGTCCCTGGCCACTTCGACAGCTGTGGTCTCTCAGTGGGCAGTTTTAGCTGCTCAGGGAGTGGAACCTGTGAGTCCATGTGATGTAAGAGGGGATGATGACTTGCAAGGGGGAAGTGCTGTCCCTAAGGCTGGGACACTGGCACCTGCTGTGCGACTGTGGCCAAGTCACCAGATGTCCTGAGTGTTTGAAATGGGGATGCTGATTGAGTTGCAGGGGATACGGGATTGGGTCATCAGAGCCTACAGGGAGCAGGTCAGGACCAGCCAAGTGCTCTTTCCAGAGCTAGCAAGTCCAGTGTGAGGGGGCAAAGGAAAAAGCAGCAAGTCGGGGCCTTCTTGCTGGTGTCCACACAACAGAAGTAGGTTTCGCAGGCGGGGCCCCTCCCTGGTTTTTTGTGGTATTGATTAGATTTAAGGGCAGAAATCACTGGACAAGCCCTGGAAACTTGTAGGATTTGCGTTCAAAAGAGTTTCAGGTGAAAGAGAAGATTGGATTCTGCCAGGCTTTTTTTTTTTTCAACTCTCCTTAGAGTCGAAACTCGTTTTTGCTGTATTCCTAAGAAATTTGATGGGACTGGGGCAGTGTTTGGGAAGAGGGAAGAGAAGACTTTAGGGCAGTCACACTATCACTTTAGAGGGAAACAGGGAAGTATATTTTGTTTATTTTCTTGATACCAGGGATTGAACCCAGGGATGCTTAATCATTGAGCCACATCCCCTGCTGTTGCTAGGGCCTTGCTGAGTTGCTTTGGGCCTTACTGAGTTGCTGAGGCTGTCCTCAACTTGTGATCCTCCTGCCTCAGCCTCCCGTGCTCCTGGGATTATGGGTGTGTACCACTGTGCCTGGCAGGGAAGTGTATTTTAAGAGGTTTCTATGTGTGCTGTGAATGGAATCCCTGTTTGGCATGCTTCTGGGACACTTTAGGAAAGACTGAAGTTGCTCTCTGTTACTTTTTTTTTTTTTTTTGGTATTCTTTGACTGTAACCCCAGGCTAGCTTCAGGGGGAAGCTAGCCACCTGGGCTTTATGAAAGTTGCTCAGAAGTTGTCTTAATTTTTTTCTTTCTCTGTTGAGACCTGTGTCTATCATGTCTAAAGATGTATTAGTCTTCAGTCTTCTAGTGGCTCTTCTTTCTTTCAGGGGTCTCCTCCCTGCACTGCTGTCTGACTCTGTCACCCTTCGGGTCAGCTGAGTGTCGTTTCTTGAGAGAGGTCCCGTGTGGCCCTTTCTGCCTCAGGGACTCCTTTCATTTCTCTCACTGAACGCTGTTGGGCTTCTTCAGAGCACTCTCGTGGTTTTACATGTATGAAGACACATTTGGGGTGGTTGCTCCACACCCCTACACTCGGCCCTGGCTGTGCGGGCGATGCTTCCTCTCGTGGAGCTCCGCCCCGGAGCAGCCCCCAGCGTCTGTGGCTCTCACCGAGGGCAGTGTTTCTTGCTCTTCATTGGGAGGTCTTTTTAAAAAATAAGACAAACAAGCCTGCTTCCAGGTGACTCAGAACATTTTTCTTGGACTTGTTTCAGGAGGGGGACATTTGCCATCATCACTGAAAAGACGATGGAAGAGATCAGGGAGGAGGGAGAGGGAATGAGATCAAATAAAGCAAAATGGTAAATGTCAGCTGGCTGTACTTTTAATTAAAAATAAAACCACCTTAAACTCCATCTCCAGGAGTGCCCTGGAGATCCACCAGCGCCTGCGCCTGTGAGCACAGGCGGCCTGCTGGCATTCCCAAGTCCCATAGCATTGCCTGCCTCTCTAGATGAGCGCCCCCAGGGCTGCGGCATGGGTGCCAGCCCTGCATCCTGTCTCCAGCGTCCCCGTCCTGAAGGTTGGGGTAGTGCCCCTTGCTCAGCCTGTTCCTGGGGGTGAGATTGGACTGGGCCAGGCATTTTTCCAAAAGAGGCTGCTACAGCAAGTGGATTTGCTAAGTGGCAGTCATTGACGTGTCTAATAAGCCCCCAAATTGGTGAACTTTTTTATCACTGAGTCATATGCTTCAAATCTGTCTCAAGAAAAAAAAGTTCTGTGTTTTGTCAGAGGAGCACTTCAAGTCACAGAGAAATCATAGCCTGTACTGTCTGCCGCTGAGAAAGTTCACACTCCGGCTTACTTATAATCACCTGTGGGAGAACTGCATTATTATCTGTTTTTAAAAAGATCAGCAAAGTGATATTTGCCCAGTTTCTTTGTGAGAAAATCTTCTTAGTGTTGAAATTGGGTGGAATTGGGTCTTTTTCAGGCATGGCTAGGTGAGTCACGACATTGATTGCCTAATTCTTTTTAAAATTTTAACTTTCGGTGTGAGATGGCCCCAGCTTTGACAGAGGGGGCACTATAGGACGTGCCTACTCCCTTCCTTCTGCTCTCTGTGCCACCGTCTTACTGAAGAGGCTTCTGAAGACATCTGTGCACTGGTTGTGCTCTAGGCAAGTGTTCAGTCAGGTCCTTGGAGTTCAGTGTGGGCCCGTCATGGGACCCTGCAAACATCCCCAGCTCAGACAGCAGCGCCGTGGCCACCACCAGCTTCATGTTGTTATCAGGATTTTAGCATTTGGGCTGTGTGTGTCCTAACTTCTCCTTTATTCACTTTCTTTTGGAGTATTTCTAGCAAATCCCAGAAACCATCCCGTTCCACCTCAGATCCTTGAGTGTTCAGGCCTTCTTGCCTCAGGTTTCCATCTTGACCCCATGCTTGCTGAGTGCCATCTGTGCCTGGGCCTCCTGTGGGCCTCCAGGATCTGTGCCTGGGTGAGACTCGTCCCTGGCTCCCAAGGTGAGGAAGGCCCTCAGGGGAGACAAACACGTGGCCCGCAGCTCATCTGCGTTGGGCTGAACTTGTGCTCTGTACGGTTAGGTGGTCAGCCGTGTGGGGCAGGATGTAGGAGACAGGCCAGGAGGTGCCGTGGGCAGAGGAACCCTTTGGGAGGAGTCTAAAACACTGCAGGTGAACCACTGGAGGTCAGGGAATGAGAAGGAGCCTCCTCCCATGGTGGCGTTGGCCCGTAGGTAGCACCAAAGGAGCGCCTGATCTGTGGAAGCTCTGCTCTGGGATAGTGTGGTGACAAACTGTCTCCAAACGCAGGAACTCGTGACCCAGGCAGGTCTTACCCAGTGAGCACCTTGAGGGAGACATAGTGGTGCAGGGTTCGGTCTTGGCACAGTGTGGCCATGTTGGTGTCCATCCTGGCACAGCTGAGTCAGGTTGCCGTGTGTGCGGTCACACTGTGTTCCTGGCATCATGGCGTCACTAGCATTTGTCAGCAAGTGTTTATTAGGGACTCACGAGGAGCTGCTGGGGCTCTTGAGGTGACTCACTGCCTTTGTGGACGACTGTGCGGTGCCCGCTGTGCGGCTTCCTGTTGCCACCTTCTATGGAAGCCTCATCTCAGATGTCCCTTCCTTGCCACCCGCCCCAGCTAAGGTCACCCACTTACCTGCTGCCGTCCTTCCTTGTGGCCACATGGCATCCCCCAGCGTGCTCCCTTCCGGGTCCTGCGTCCCCTCCCATCATCTTCCCAGGCCTGCGTTGTCTTAGGCTTTTGGTGAGCACCTGTTAACTGACCTGCTGTCACGGGCTGCTGCAGGCTTTCAGGGGATGTCCTTGGCTTGTCTGAGCCTGAATGCCCTGAGTTTAGGTCAGTGGGAGCAGTGAATTGCCACCCGTCTGGCTGATTGTCAGAGTTAGAGAGGTAAGAACACAGACTTCCTGGTCCCTCTCCAGATGTGTCGAGATCAGCATCTTCTCGTGTACAGGGTGTGCTGCAGTCTGTATTTCAGTCCCTATAAGTGGCTCTGCCCACCTGCTGCAAGGGGACCGCTGCAGTGGAGGCCACGGAGGCTACCATCGAGCATCTAGTGGGGAACGGGAGCCTTGAGGTAGGGATGCCTTTGAATCAGACCTTGCTGTGACTGAAATTATTTTCCAATCCCTGAGCCCTGGACGCAGTGCAGACTCTTGTCACCTTATCTTCTCCATGTAGTGTTTTTAGATCCATTCATTCTTTTTTTTTTTTGCGGGGGAGGGTACCAAGGATTGAACTCAGGGGGACTTGACCACCGAGCCACATCCCCAATCCTATTTTGTATTTTATTTAGACATAGGGTCTCACTGACTTGTTAAGCACCTCGCCATTGCTGAGGCTGGCTTTGAACTCGCAATCCTCCTGCCTCAGCCTCCCTGCCTCAGCCGCTGGGATTACAGGTGTGTACCACTGCGCCTGGCCACACGGTGTTTTTAGGTGGAGAATAGTTAGGTTAGCAAAGGGAAGTGGAGTAAATGACTCTCAGATTCTGGGCTTGAGGCGATGCTCCACAGGCCCTGCACCCAAATCTCCAGCCTGGCATTGAAGCATGCTGAGCCAAGTTGGACAGGAGCAGCCATAAAAGCCCCTTGATATGGCCTCTTTGTCCAGTCTCTCCACTTTCCTGTATTTTTCTTATGCTTCAGAAAAATACTGTTTTTAATTTAATATTCTTGATTGGTAAGGAAGGCCCATCAAAATATCAGTTTTTTTTTTTTTTGGAGAAAATATATGTCTGTAACTCAATGGCATTGAAAAGTCTTTTCTTCTAAGTTTATCAAAATCATCTCAGATAGTTTTGAAATCGCGTCTTTGCGTGAAGAGAAAGGAAGACGTTCTCATGTATGGAAAGTGGGTCACTTTAGAGTCTGTCTCCAGGATCAGTGGCCATGGGGGAGTATGTTCTGTGGCCCTTTGACTTTGAAAGCTGAGGCTTTGCCATAGACTGCCAGGTGTCATGGGACATTGCACGTTTCCTTGATGACGCTTGTGTCCTTGCTGCAGGTACACACAGAGGCTGGGCTGCTGTCCAGATGCGTCTGCTTCACGAGCTGGTCTATGCCTCCCGGAGAATGGGGAACCCTGCGCTGTCCGTGAGACACCTGTGCTTCCTCCTGCAGACCATGCTGGACTTCCTGTCGGACCAGGGTGAGCCGGTGGACTTTGGTTCTTTCCCAGGCAGCAGGAGGAGTCTGGGTTGGGGTGTGGTGCTGGTGGGCGGGTCGTCCCCCTCCCGCCCAGGCCCCCAGGCCCCAGGCCCTGTGCCTGGCTCTCGCCCCCTCCCACTCTGCACTCTGTCTTGTGTCAGGCACGGTGCTGAGGTGTGGTGCTGTGGAGGGAAGGGCTCAGCTCCCGAGGACACTGGGGAGTTTCACCGTGTGGCCCCCATGGCCTCACTGAAGGAAGGTGGGACAGCCAGAGGCCCAGCCCTTTGTCCTCTGGCACTGCTTCTTCCAGGGCACCTGGCCGAGGTCGCCTGTGCTGCTGTAATGGGCCCAGTGACATCTCTGCCCGCACTCCACAGTGGGCCTCCTCTGCTCCCTCTGCCCACACTGTTCCTGGGGTCACCTGGGCTTTGGGTTTCGGTGGTGATCTGTTTATTCCGCAGCGTGGGGCATATCTCCCTGGTGTCTGTAGGTGCTTGAAAGTCAGCGTCAGAAGGGGACCCAGTGGCTCCCCTGTCAGGCTGCCTTTGCCACTCTGGCTGTGTCAGTGTAGGGTGCTGGCTGGGTGCTCAGGGACGTGTCTTCTGCGGTGAAGCCATGTGTGGGGAGCTTATTAGGAAGGACTCCTGGGATCAACACCCTCTGAAGTGGAGACGAAGGGAGACTGGTCTTGCTGGGGTGGCCTGCACTGCTGACCCAGGCCTCTTGCTCCCTTGCTGGCCAGCTGTTGGTTGCAGGTAGGTGTCATCCTCTTCAGCAGCCAGGGGGCGGCCCCACCTGACCCCTGGACCTCTGCTGTGAGATCTGAGAGGATCTGGGTCTTCGTGTTCTTCCCAGGCACTGGTACATGTGGCTCCCGGGGGGGCTGTGATCCCGGGAGGCCGGCTTCTGGAGGGGCAGTGCTCTTCCTCTGGGGCACCTCCTCTCTCGCCCTGAGTGATGACTGAGTAGCACCGCTGTCTGCTGTAGTACCGTGTGGTCACTGCTGCTGTCGGGAGCCTGAGAGGCCTGAATGCCTGCTTCTGCAACCCACATCCAGGGGTCTGCCAAGCTCTGTGCGCCTTTGTCTTCCCACTTTCCCGTAGCTTTCTCTTGAGTGTCCCTGTCCTGGAATCGAAGCAGCCCTCTCCAGCCCCAGGGTCCTCAGGGAGTGTGTCTCCCAGGGATGTTGTGAGGCCTGGATGTGCCCATGCCCGCAGAGCTCAGGAGCAGGGCCCACTCTGGGCACTGTATGGTGTTGCCCACAGAACGGGTGTGCAGAAGACCATGTGCGGGTGCCCCGCACAGAGGTAGAGGCTCTGGTCTCCGCAGCCTTGCCTTCTTGCAGTGGGAGGGGAGGGTTCGGTCGAGGCTCTGAACTCAGAAGAGGGTCGCGAGTCCTGCCTCCAGGCTGAAGTGGTCAGGCTCACCAGTCTGTGTCCCTGCAGGTCCTGAAACGCCATCTCTGGGCAGCACTGCGTCCTCCTCCTGCTGTCCCCCTCACTTGTGGAGCCCTTGTCCCCGTCGCTGCTGGAACTCGGGCCTCATTTTGAAGATGGCCATCTGTGTGCAGTGACTTCCGTGGCCATTTCTACCCAGAATGACTTCTTGTCCTCCAACCCCTGTCCCTGTCTGTCTTTAATGTTCTGTTCTTAGGGTGCACACCACTTGGCCACGTGCCTCCCTCGTGGTGTGAGCTACCTGTTGTTTTCTATTTAGGACTTCTGGTGACCTGGGGGAGTCACTGCTGGGACAGTGGTCTCCTGGACAACAGCTCAGCTTCTGTGCCTGGCCGGTTCCCGTTTCCCTTGGTGTTGCATTTGACATTTGAGTCACCACTTGGCCTCCCTACCTTGGTGTGTCTAGCCCCTGAGTAGCAAGGCCACCGTGGAAGCTGCCGACGGGAACACCTCGCTCTTGAGCCTTTGTGGCGTCCTCCCGTCTCCCCTGAGGCTGCAGCTGCTGGGGGGCAGGGGTGGCCCCTCCTTGCTTCGTTGCCTCTTTGCCCCCCCTGCTCCCCTGGTTTCATGACCCGACCTGAGATCTGCAACCCTGAGGAGGTAGCACAGCCTCTGTGCCCTCCCTGACCTGAGGCCCTGCCTCTCTTCCTTGGCCATGGCTCTGCTCTCCCTGGTCCTGTCCCCATGTCACATTTAGATGTGTGCAGTCTCACGTACCCCTCGTTCTTCCTGAGTGCTGACACCCCCTGCCTCCCCTGCCGCACCAGGGGCTTTTCTCCTCAGCAGCACGAACCTTCCTTCCTTGTGGGGGCCTTTATCTCTGGCTCCTTCACGCTGCACCCTGTCTGCAGGCGGAAGGACCTGTCCCTGTTCTCTCGCTTCACACGTGGCTCAGGCTGTACGTACTGCCTGGTGCCTGTGTCTGCTCCAGAAGCACCTGTTTCTGTGTATATTGCATTTCTTAAGGGTTGGGGTCTGCAGTCAGAGGACCTCAGTAGCATGTGGTGATTTTAAGTGGCTGAGTGTGGAGTGGGGTCCGACAGTGGAGTGAGGCGCTCCTCGTTGCTGCATCAGGTGTGACTTGACCTTCTCTACTCCAGACACAAGGCACTGTGTCCTGGCTTAGTCAGCAGCCCGCCTCCATGCCCATGGTTTACCTGAACATGGGAGGCCACAGGAAAGCAGAGGAAGCACGCACACTGGGTCACTCTCTGGCTTCCCTCCATCGAGGCAGCCACCACTGTCACCTGTGCCTGTGAGCAGAAGTGTGTGATTGCAGAGACTCAGAGAAAACCTCCACCCTGAATGAGGTGAGAATCCTGCTGGGCCTCAGAATTTGGTGACTTCCTCCTCCTTTTTTCTTATCCCGTTTACATTTTAAGATTTGTTTCCCTCTAAACCTATCCTGTGATCTTCCAAAAAGGGTGATGTGTGTGGGCAATGGGGCATCTTGTGGCAGGTCATGTTGAAGGCCTTTTGCTCTATACATATAAAATATTTAAACATAAAATACAGTTGAAATAGCATGTCTGTAGTGGCCTATGGTCTCAAGAAGGCCAGTTGAAATACAGGGAGACTCAAGGTCAGGACCTGGGCAGGCTGTGTCTCCCTCAGGTGGGCAGTGTTGCACTTGTGGCCAGAGTCCTGGGGTCTCCACATTGCATGCTGTGATCCCTTTTGGTTGTATCTCTCAGTGGAGTCCTGAAAATAGCCTTTTTTTCCCCTTTTTCTTCCTATCCCTCTCTTGCTTTGAGATCTACTAGAAGTGCTGGAGGATAAAATTAAATCCTGAGTTCAAATCATGTAGAGTTTTTCTTTTCGTTGTTTCCTAGAGTTAGTGTGGAGAGACTCTAAATCTGCATTTGGACCTGAATGGAGCCCCTGAGGGTCAGTTAGAGTCACATCAGGCAGCTCTGGGAAGGGGCAGTCGCCAGGCCACCAGTGTCCTTCTTTCTGGGGTTTGGTTTTGGTGGATGGCTGGCTCCCAGGGAGGATGTAGAGAATACAGTGGTGGCTGCGCTTGGCCTGTGCTCTTGCAGGCTGCTCTCCCTGGGTGTGGGAAGGTGATATGCCCTGTGATGGGTGGGGTCTTGGCTGTGCGTTTTTAGGTGACAAAAGGATCTATTTGCCCATATAATGCTGATAGCATTGCAGTGGTTGCCAGAGGTCTTACTAATTAGAGGTTTAAAGCTATGTTGTTTAGGAAGAGAAGAATCTAGGTATTTGATATTGTTTGACAAACTGCTGTTTGCTGAGAGGCTGAGAGTGATGTCATTGGTTAATTGGAGTTTTCTGAGGAAGGACGGGAGGAGGGCTGGTAGGGCCTCTCCACCTCTCACCTTTGATCAGTGGACACTCAGGTCAATAACTGCAGCCTTCCTGGATCTCCGTTTTCTCATTTGGACAAGCGGGATGTGGAGACTTCTGTGCAGTGCTGTTATTTTTAATGATGGGATTTTGATTTGTTTTAATGGCAGGTCTTTTGCCCTTTTCCCTGAAGAGCTCAGGCACCCCTGGCAGGCTGGGTAATTAACATTTCTCAACATGCCTGCATGGAGATGGAGCTGGAATGGAAGAGCAGCAGAAAGGAAAGACAAAGGTGTGCCCCCATTGGCTGCTGGCAGTGGGGCAGCCACTGGGGACTCCTTGCCTGTCCCTCCCTGTGTGTGCCTCTGAGGTGAGCAGAGAGTGGGCTTCCAGACTGGCAGGAGGCACCTCTTCACCCGACAAGGCTCTGGGCTCCCGGGACTTTGGTCTTTTTTGCAAGGTAGAAGTTTAGACTTGAGGACTTGTGGGGTTTTCCCTGGAAGCGCAGCTGTCTTAGATTTCACTGGTATGGGCCATTTTTGTGCAGCCCTCCTGCCACCTGTGCGGGTGCAGAGCTGCCACGGCATGTGGTAATGGATTTATGGCGCTGTCATCCCTTAGACATCGTGGGCTGTGCATGCAATCCTGGCATGCACGAGAGGCAGCAGGGGTCTCTTGAAAGGCTTCTCCCTTTGTGGAGGGTTGAGGGTGACTTAGAGCCACCCCCTCCAGCCTTGCCTGCGCCCCTTGCGCTTCTCCCTGCCTTGGCTGGGCCGAGTTCCCGACAGTGCTGCAGGCGCAGCAGCACCCTGGGCAGCCTGCTGGCACACTGCTCTCACTGCCCTCGCACTGTCCCAGGAGCGTGCCTTTATGGCAGCAGCACTCTCCTCTGGTGGCTGCCTGTCTGCTGCTGTCGGGGCCCCACCACATCTGTGGAAGGTTCAGATAATTCTCCGTTGGGATGGACTTCTCGTGCCTCCGTGGTGGGGAGCGCTGTGTTCCTGCTCTTTGGTGTGGTCGGAATTCCACGTGCCTGCTTGGGCTGCCCTTATGGGGACACGGAGGACGTCTGTTGGCTTGTTTTGTGGGGGACTCTGGGAAGTGAAACCCTCTCTCAGCCCCAGGTTTATGTCTGCCTGCAGCGTTATATGAAGGGTAGAGGTGACAACCTTTAGGTGCTTGCTGATGTCTTGAGACGATGGGGTTCTCCCTGGGACTTGGACGTGGCTCCTCAGTC